GTATTTATATTTTGTTTTTATATAATTTTCCTCTGAAAATGGCTCGAAAGGAGCTGAAATGTATGGATTGTAAGGGAGTTTAAATATATAGACTAAAGAAAAAGAACGTAATTATTATTATGCTGTTTTTCTCGATGTCTTTTATTAATATTTTGTTTTTATCAATTGGGAGTCCAATATTTTTTATTTTATATTTAATCAAATGTAAAATTTTAGAAACATAAATATAATCTTTTATGAGATAATATATTAATTTTGCGCGCGCGCGCACATCACACACACACACACACACACGTATTACAATATAATATTTAACGTAGTTTATGACAAAAAGATTTCAATTTTCATACAATTGAATATATAGTTAACCAGTTTCTTATCAAGCTACATGATAAAAACGAAATTAAATTCTGTCTGCAAAATTAATTTGGTGTAATAATATATCGCGTTCTAGAATGACTTAAAAGTCGTTCAATCGATTGCGTTCGATGGAACGTAAAATGCAGCTACGACCATAATTAATTTGCGCGCGATGAATTGAGGAAAGAGGAGGGAGCTTTATTGAGATCGCGGGCTTATCATTTACTGTCGGCCGTTGATAAGCACGGAAATCCTCTCAGTTGTCGACGGCATTCTGAACGAAGCTAGCCGGTGCCTCAATGCAATGTGGGGTTTGTCCCGCAGTTGTGCGTTTTTAATTTTCTTTTATGTTTTACGTACATAAGTAAAATTGGATTGGAAAAATTGGCCTCTCATATTTTTTATGATACAAGGTTGAGAACTTTTGCTTTAGTGCAGCATTATCATTTTTAACTAGAACTCAATTTGAATGTTTATATAACGACTAATTAATTAGTGAGAATAAAATTTGAACAAAAGATATCAAAATGATAATTGGCTTTATAATACTGCGGTACAAGGATGTCAAAAAGTAATTTCGAATTTTCGCGATAAGAATAGCCAGTCCTTCGAATCCCACGTCCAATTCGGTTTGCTTGGATTTTAATCTATATTAAACTTTGTAGTAAAGAATTTAATTCGTATCTTGATTAATGATTATTCAAAGTGTATTTAGCATGATTATTCAAAGTGTATTTAGCAATTTTTTTCTCTATGAAATTGATCGCAAAACAATCTACTTTTACTATTATTTTAATTTGCGATGAACTTTAGTGTGATGAAAATTTAATTTAGAGCTGGATATGTCAATTTATCATATTCAACTGAAATATTTATTTTTCTATTTGCAATCAGTATAATTTAAAAAATCCCACCTTTCATTTCGAAGCTTTATCGAATCAAGTTCGTAGCACGTTCATTACATTTATTGCCGATTAAATTTGAGACACACGACAGATTGATTTAGACAATTTTATTTTCTTCGATTTTCGCTTTAGTGTTTCTTGTTCATTGAACCATTTAATAGCTAAGACATATTGTGTGTAAAAGACGGATAGAAAACGGCGTTGAAAGGAACTACATATCATACTTACTGAAGTATTACATCGATCGTATACGATACATGTACTTCACTGCTATCGGCATCAAACCATAAAAACATGGAGTCATCTTTGCGATGTGTCACCGCACAAACTGAAATAAAACGTCGTCTGATTTATACGCAATACTGACAGACTTGCGTTCGGCATTCGAATTACAAGCGATTTGTTTTATAATTTTATTAAAAATTTTATTTGATATGTTTATCATATACTAATTTAAGTATCAAGTATTGTTTGCACAAAATAAAATAATTTATAAGAAAAACATATATACACTTACACTCATAAAAAAAACGGACCATCAAATTTTATTACAATTTTTTAATATTTTGAAACAGCGATAATTCAGCAAAAAATTATTATTTTATTGAGATGAATTCAAGCTTAAATTAAAGCTTAAATCTTCCTCTTGACAACCAAAATATGTAGTAAATTGAATAACAAAGAATATTTCAAGAATGATAGATATTGAAAACAAATCTTGAAAAATGGGAAAAATATTTTATTTTTTAAACTGGGTGTTCAAAAGAGTCGACGTCTCGTAAAAAAATATGTGTTTTCAAGCGTTATTCTGTAACAAATCCAGTTTTTAAACATTTTTCTATGGTTCTTTCGATGAAATTGTATCATTTTAAAAAATATGTTATAAAGCAGGTCACTTTTTCTGTAATTCGAAAACGCAAATTATCGTAGACAGCCAAAAGATCAGGAAAGGTCAAAATTGTCAAATTCTGAATGGTGGATATAGAGTTTAAATTTATCACTTTATTACTTAAAAATTATTTTCTTGAAATGTTCTGTATGGTTAAAAACAATTTTAAGATCAATATTGTAAAATTAAAAATGTGGGATTTAAAATAGTGAATCTAAATTTCTATAATTTGTTGTCAGAACTACTCGAAAATTGTTTTCTAAGAGCGCACAGTGAGTTGATCTGTTATCTAAAGTTATAAGTTATATTACAAATTATATTAAAATTATAAAATATATAAATATATAAAAATTAATCTTTATCTGAATATGAATAGAGAAATACCTAATGAGGTAATGAGGTTTTTTTTTAAATTTCTCATTTCAAATGTAATATATATAATTTATATATATAAATACAAATTTAATCTAATGATAATCTCAAATATTTCTTAAACAATGCATTTTAAAGAAAAATATTTTAAATAAAAGTTAAGTTTTAGGAGGCTATATGATTAGTTTCCGAGAAAAATCGGCGAATACAAAACTTGAATAAAGTGCTTGATCGATCCACGGCAAAGACGACAGAGTAATAAACGCGTTTTTATCTATAATCATAGAATTGCGAAAATTTTTTTGTAAGAACATCCGATTTCTTTGTTGTATATCGACGTTGTATAATGTTTTCTTCATCATCGTGCTTACTGTTATACTTGCTTTGCGAGAATTTTCCTGCATGTTGCTTAAAATCGCTCCTCTTATTTTTTACGAATGTCTTCCAGATCATTTTATTTGATGTGAAAAAACGCTGTAAGAATTCCACGCAATTCTCTTGCAATTTTTCGTCACATTTTTTTTTACTGCAGCAACCTTTTTAACGTAGCAACATCTCTGCTTTGTTATCTTGCTTATGCAATCACGCTTGGAAAGTTGATCGGAACTTCTTTAAGGTGTCACGATCGTTGAAAATTATTTTTCGCCATTGAAACAAACTTGCAAACTTGCATAAGTATATCAAGTAATTGTCGTTTGAGAAGCAATACAATGGATTCGAAACAACGAGCAATTATCATTGGGAATTGTAATTAATTTACCAATTGATTCCTGAAAAATATGAATTACCTAGAATGAATTTGTTAAATGCATCTCTTTTTATTTTCAAAAATAATTTTCAAAATTGTTGTTCAAAATTTTAAATTAAATAAATACTATTAAGGCTCGGCTCTTTCGCAGCCAATTCGGTTTTATAACGTCATATGTGAGAAATGACGTACAGCAATTTCTTTGCAATGTAGAGTTTTATGTTTTAAATTTTCCTTAAAAACTTAATAATTTCGTGAAACTTGTAAAATGAGCGGGAAATTGAAACATCTGTCCGATTTGTTGCATAGAAATTTAAAATAATTCTTGAAATAGTCATTTTTCAGTCAATTTTAAGCGGCCGTGACAGCTGATCATGATCTATGATCCATGAAGTGAAGATTATTTTAGGAATTATTTTACACTTCTACTCGTGACAAATCACGATAGATGTTATAGTTTTCCGCACATTCTACAAGTTTCACTAAATTATTATGTTTTTAAGGGAAAACAAAAAATAGAACTCTAAAGTCGCAAGAAAATTATAGCATGTCATTTCTTGCCTATGACGTCATAAATCAATATAGCAGCAGAGACTTCAAATGTGAATTTGCAACAAAGTCGTGTTTAATTAATATTTAATTGAAAATATATTTTAATATATATTATACGATTGATTGTACGTATTTATGATTTCTGTATTTGTAATTTATACGATCGAGAGACCTAACGAAGAAACGATATTTCAAGCCAATTATGGAGAGAAAGGAAAAAATAAAATCGATATAAATTTTGCAGGGCCCACTTTGGAACCACCATTGCCCAGACGAAAGAAATGCCCGGAGCTCGCTTATAAGACGCACGAATTTATTACGGCAGCAGATGGTGGTGGTATCGATGCCATCGACTCGAATGTCGTAGCTGATAAAGTACGGGTAAGAATTATTTCACTGATAATAACTCTTAATGATTTTTTTAAAACTTATAACAGCATTAACGAAAATTAAAACATTAACGGGAAAATTTTATGTTCAGAAACGGTTTCGTATTTTCTTCTTCTTCTTTTATTATTATTATTATTATTATTATTATTATAAAATACAGTAAAATTAATTAAATTTCTTTTTTAGATCAACTATTAAATATATATATGGATTTAACAATAGTAGATCAAAGAAATATTATATATCGAATAATTTTCATAATATTAAAGTAAAACTTTTTATATTTAATATTATAATAATATTAAATGTAAAATTTCAATTATGTTCAATTATATTGATTTCACCGATTGCGTGGTGTTTATTTATTCAATCCAAGTAGTATGAGTATTATTCATTTTATATACAAAAAAAATTTATTATTTTTTAATAATTATTATAATATGTTATAATGGTACAATATATTATAATAATTATAAAACTTAATTTTTTTATTAGTTATAATGATATATAAAAATATAGAATATTAATGCTCAACGCATTATTTGGAAATGATTACGTTTCATTTTTCAATTGTTTTTTTTTTTAGTTTCCTTTATTAATAAAATAAATAGTAAAAAGAATATTAAGAGTAGTTGCATTTATCATAATAGTATGAGTATTATTCATTTTATATAACAAAAAAATTTATTATTTTTAATAATTATTATAATATGTTATAATGGTACAATATATTATAATAATTATAAAACTTAATTTTTTTATTAGTTATAATGATATATAAAAATATAGAATATTAATGCTCAACGCATTATTTGGAAATGATTACGTTTCAATTTTTCAATTGTTTTTTTTTTTAGTTTCCTTTATTAATAAAATAAATAGTAAAAAGAATATTAAGAGTAGTTGCATTTATCATAATTGCGATTGCATATATTATATAAGAATATTTACTTTATGTGCCATTTACACTTTTATATTTTATCATATTAATATTTGAAATTATTATCGGTACAATTTTTACATAATTAATAGGTTTTATGCGTATAATGTTACTACTAACGTTATAAAAGTAACAATAATGAAAAAAAGATATCCTAACCATAATTATTTTACTATACAATTATAGTCGCAACGTAGCATTTTTCTTTGAGTTTGAAATAAATCTGATTTTGGAATTGCAGGAAGTTACAGCAACGTCGGCACTGCCACCGAATCAGCTCAGCAAGGCGATATCTCGTATCAGTACCGAGTATCGGTTGCAGTTTGCTTGGCCTAGAAGACCACAATTAACAAATGGCGAGACCCAGGCACCGGTTTCAGCCGCGGGAGTTTCTGCGGGCACCGCAGGTCCGCCGAGGAAGTCATTGAGCATGGGTGCGCTTAAGCAGGGTATGGCGCCTACTGGACCCGCGCCGGTACATAAAAAACGACCCGGTGACTTCGATCACAAACGCGATGGTACTTATCTAATGCCACGACAATTTGATCACAGCTGTAATCCAGATGTCAAATAGACAATTTGACAGATGTCAAATAGACTTTGCAAATCTCACATTTGTCAGGTATCATATTTTTATAACCAGGGTTGGGTAAATTGATATTATTTTTTAATTAAATTATTAAATTGATTAGGTTAAAGTTAGTGGCTCATTAAATTAATTTAATTACGTTTAAATGTTACAAATGAACAAAAAATTAATTCAGGTAATAGTTGCGTTAAAAGTAAATTAATTTAAGTAAAATTAAAAATTAATTTTGAAAAGCACTATTTATATTAAGACAGAATGTAATTTTTTTAAATTAAAATATTCTAGATAACAAAGCAATTATAGGTCGTCAAATAAATCTAATATTTTATTTGTAAATTAAGTTTATATGAAATAACAAAGAAATATTGCTTCTTTTTATATGCCTTTTTATATGAGAATATGTTTTTTTCTTTTACAATTTTTTTCTTCTACATAAATTAGGAAGAAGTTAATAAGTTAAAGTTAACGCATTTTAAAAATAATCATTTTAAAATTATAAATTCATTTATTTAAAATTAATTATGTTAAAACTTTTTAATTTTGTTAGTTAAGTTTTTAACTTTTTAACTAGTTAGTAGTTAAAAAGTTATCCAACCTTATAATTTAAAAATTATTATCTCTTTCTCTTCTTCTCTCAATTATTTGATATTTTTATTTAGAAAAGAAGCGACACTAAATCGTGTAACGATAGATGGAATTTTTTTAATAAAAATTTCTAATTACAGCATTAGTAATTACAATAATATCTTTGTCAGCACATTATAAATTTGAACTTATAAACTTTATTCTTTTATTGAACTTTGTCGTAATAATATAATATAGTTTTATAAATATAGCAAGGAATATTTTCATTAAAAAAAACTTAATTTTATTTGATTGCATTTATATAGGCACAAAATGTTATTCGGCGTGAATTGATGTGTGTAGGAGTTCAAGCATCGGAACTGGAACCGTTGGTGGGCGGCATTGGAACGGATACGATCGACGGTGTAGTACCGGAGGCCGATGAGCGCGAAGAGGACTTGTCGGATTTGAAAGTAGCTTTCAGGTCAGATTGTCAACCTAACATATTAGTATGGCATTTCGCATGAAAATATGTTCTTGTGAAGAAGAAAACGGGAGGAAGTAAATAGAAAATAAAAGAAGGCATCTACGACGATTTCGATCGGTGTGAAGACGCGATGATAACGCGACGCGACGACTACGCGATCATTACACACAGAATTGATTATTTACAGGGGTAAAAAGTCAGGTAGGACCGTGCGGATATCGGACAATAAGGTACCGTCGGAGGCGAGACCATTTCCCACGGCGGAGGTGATCGAGCTCCGGCGACTCGCTGATGAGTACAAGGTAATCCGTGGGAGACGTGATACGTGTCGTCGTTTCGAAATTGGATTTCTTATTCGAATTATCTCGCAAGTCGGCTCTTCCCGCGCCATTCGTTCACCCTCGTGAATTCCCTGTCCAGTCGCTTTGTATTCTCCGCGTTCAACTGCTCGATCAATCTGACTCTTAGGGTCGTCGACTATATCTGTCAGTGTTCGTGTATCGAACGACAATCTACTAGTCATCGAAATGCTGCATGTTTTGTTTTATCTTCTCCTGTTTCGTAATATTACCTGTTACAACAAAAGTCCAATTTTCGTTGAAAATATACATTGAAGTAAATGCTGGTGCTTTAAATAGCAATATATAATACATTTTCTTCTCTTATTGATAACATATAAATAATATTTTCGATCGTTTCAAGGTATTTTGTAATTAATCAGTTAACCGTTTCTTTTAACTTATTTCATTTTATTTGATTTTTCTTGTGAATACATCTCCAAAATTAATCTCGAAACATTTCCCGCGAGTTCCGCAATTCTGGGAGTGCAGTTCCAAAATTGCATCATCCGAGCAAGGTATTTTAATGTCTTCCCAGCATGTTTTGTGTGCTCTTTCAATTAGTATGCCATAACACCAATAGTCTGGTCAATCAACTTGATTAAATTAAATATTTAGAATATCGCAGAAATCAAATTATTTTTAAATTATACAAATTTGAAGATAATTTTTTATTTATTTATGAGGACATTAGATATGAGAAATTTTCAAAGTGATAAATACTATTTTCAATCTTTGTACTAAACAAATAGATTTTAAGTTTGGCTTTCTCGCTGCAGCCATGTTGAATTATGATGTCAGAAGTAAGAAATGACGTGCGAAAAGTTTTCTTGCGTCATATAGCTTTATTTTGTACTTTTCTCTTAAAAACAGAATATTTTCATATTCTTGAAACTTGTAGAAAATACCAGAAAGTAAAATATCTGTCGAATAGATCAGATAAAAGTGTAACATAATTCTTGAAATAATGATCATTGTTCAGCTATCAGAAACAACTAGATCTAGTGATCAAAATTTGGAAAAATAATTAGATCTTGTAAATTTGATCTGCCATTTGGAATAACAAAATTCTGATATATTTTGACTCTGTGACTTCAACAATTTTGAAGTACTCATTTGTCATAATAGTCTAATTATTTTTTCAAACTTTTATCCATATTGAATTTTGAAGTTCAGATATCATCTGGATTCAGACCTCAAAAACTATCTGTAGAATACTAAATTTCATACAAATCGCAAAAGAATAAACCGGTTTTTTTTAGATGTGCATATATGTTACGTTACATACTGGTGTGACACGTCTTTCTTCTGTACACATATGCTACATATATCGTGAAGAGCTTAATATACGAAATGATGAAAATATTTTACTGTGAATATTAAAGAAACACAATGTTTTATAACAATTTGTTGAAAAATAGACTAAATGATTTAATCAGAGCTGATGTTGACCGGCGTTGGTGCGATCGGTTCTTAGTGTTGTCCCTCTTAGAATATGTCATCGCGACATCCAGCGATAGATTAGCGATTTCTATGGAAATAACAACGTAGACACACAGACGGATGTTGATACATTTTGGTTTGCGCTAGCATCGTGACTGGGGTTGCGGTCTGGCGGCCGAGGACGAGGCTTCGCTGTGGAAACGAGTCTCCAGTAACCACGTGCTCAACGCTCTATCTCTTGCCAGGCCAGTACACTATACTCCATCATTTTCCAAAGAGAGAAGCTCGTTGTTCTTGTTGTTGTGTTGTTATTGTTGTTGTTTGTCATTATTGTCATTCTCACGAGTCTTGTTGGTTTGTTCAAGTCGTTGAACAACCGCAATTTACATACATTCTTTTTATTCTATTAATCTGTCAACAAAACATGGAAATCTGTAATTAGACATCAGATAATAAATTGCCAGAAATTGATATTTCTGCCGCGGAAAATTCTTAGCGGAAACTATATATGTTTATTCAACATGGTTCCCCGCTCTTGAATTTTAATCATCACGAAATTTCATCGATCAAATTTATCACGTATTAGTGCTTCTCAAGCTTTTGCGTGCTTTTTAAAAAACGAAAAAGACGATTCATTCATTCACAAATAAGACATTCAAGCAAATTGTGAAACATTTTAGAAATACGTTTGGATTGTCGCACTTGATGTGTCACCTATGAACGCACTTTGAATATGTTCGGGTGTTCCGTCTCAGGTAGTTCGCACATCCAATTCTATCTGTCATTTTGAGAGTCAAGAAGATGAATTTCTAACCGAATTGTATTTGAATTACTTAACATGTTTTTATCCGAGAGACACATCCGAGAGACGCTTTGCTTACCGGATTACACATTGTCGCTCATACACACATTGTTGTTTATCACGGATTTGAGTCATAAAAGAGAAAGAAAAGAAAACTAGAGCACTCGCGATCTTGCGAAGAAGAACTCGCGAGAATTCGAGCGTGCTCGCACCTTCACACGGATTTCCGTCGTAGTTAGCTAGTTGATTTCATCGATCCAAGCAAGTCGATGTGGCTATTTTGACGAGATCATGATAAAGTCGCTTCTTGATCGATTATTTAGGTCGGTTACCAAGGAGGAGAAGGAGAAAGAAAACACGAGGAAAGTCGCGCCGATCGTCACTATGCCACCGGCGGGTCGACCATCCTCGGTGCAGGCTAGACCGATTCACGGCATATTGCAGGATGACAAGGCGGTATGCAAATATCTTATTCAATAGTTTTTTCATAAGATTGGTTTTCATCGAGCATCGTCGAAATATCTTGGAGTCGAGAAGAATCAGTTAAGTTTTTTTATTTTTCTATTATTTTTTTCCATCTTTTTCTTAAAATCACTCAAATGTTACTTTTTCTTCCCAAATTATGTACAATGTCTTCCGAATGATCATTTAATCCGACAATTATTTTGCGACTCCTATTCTTCTTGTATTAATTTTTAATAAAAAAAATGGGTAGTATGTAACAGTAAACAAATAGTACCTTTCTCCAAAATTACTTACATTTTATTTATCCTTTCTTCAGGTAAAGAAATAAGAATTATGATTTACAAAATCGAATATTTTCTCTATTCAAAATCAGAAGCAAGACGAGCACTCTAAGTTCTACATACCCAAAAATAAATTTGTTAATACAAGAAACTCCTAGTTGAATTGACAAATCCCTTCTTCTCCTCCTTCAAAAAAATCCTGAATACACCCATAAATTATCCCAGATAAATAAGTATCGTATACTATATCATTTATTTTATATTATATTGCTAGATAGTATATACAGAGAAAGATAGTATAACAATCGATATTGAAACTAACTATATATTTTGACATATATGTATAAAAGACAGAGTAAAATAAAAATATTATAACAAAAAATAACTCATTATTTTTATTAGCATATAGTGCAAAATGATCTATCTATGATCTATACAATAATTGAGACATTTTTTCAAAAACTATATATATATATATATATACTTTCTTAATATTAATAACTATTATTGTTCTTTTAAAGAATTTCAAGTTAATGCTCTTTGATTCAATTTGTTTCGAAATAGAATAAGCATTTTTTATTTACGAATTCTACGTAAATTCTTTTCATGAAAATGGTTGCAGAACTCCTTTACATCAAATATGCGATTCTTTAAATTTTTTAAAATTCTTTTATGTTCCTTTTGATAATTTTATATGTATTGTTTTAGCTTGATATGCTAATAAAAATTGTGGAGTTTTTAATTAATTTAATTTTGTTTTTCTTTTATTATATGTATAACAATTATTCTTTTAGTAACTTTTCGATTGTTATTCTACATATGTAATTCTTATAATTTTTTACATTATAACGTATGCAATTATATTTTTATATTGTTAATTCTGTTTTAGGATGCTGATCGAGCTATCGCTCGCGCAAGAAAAGATTTCTTGATTCGCCATCATCTCGACCGTACTACTGGTGTGGGTATGTAATTGATAAGTCAATTCAATTAATATAAACATTTTTAAAATAAACATTTTTTATCATATTTTTCTTTAGTCTCTATTATGTTAAAAATAACTTACAAGGTGCAAGAATTTGAGAGCAGTCGAATCTTATGAATAATGCTCTAGAAAAAAAAGTTTCAGACAAAAGTTATAAGCTTTGAAGAGACCACATGATTGAGAATGCAATTGTTTAAAAATATATATATATATATATAATACTTGCATGTTGCTAATTGCATAATTTTTTTTTAAATAGCTATGTATCTTTTTCATACTAATTGATTTGTCTCATTATTTGATGCATAAAAGTCTTAAAATATAGTTATGTAAAAATATGTGAGAAAAAAATATAAAATATCTTATAATTATTGTAAAAATCTTTAATATGATTGATTTTTGCTCTTAGTTCCTCACGAATCTGAAAATGTATAAATCAATTATATTGAAGAATTTTACACAGCTGCTTTTTCTACTGAACGCAGTTATTATATAACGCTAGGCCGATCCTTTGCGCAAATCCCCGTTCATTTGCATATCTGTTTAAATTAGTAACTCTTTAATTATTACGAAAATTCGTAAAATGATACAGGATCTTTTGATTTAATATAACTCGCTTTACTTGCCCGGTATGGTTATTACCAGACATCTTATATATCCATAATCTACTTAAATAATATTAATGAACGAATAAATTAAATGTGATTTTAAGAATAATATTAAAACTAGGTATCTGTATACAAAAATCTTGTATTTTACTTTCTTTCTCATTTTTTCTTTCTTTTAAATTGTCCTAAAAATAAATTAAAAAAAAATAATTCCGTCAAGGTGACGGTGCACTACTTCCCTCTCCGACGAGAGAAAAGTTGGAGCCTGTGATACCACGACGACGTGATGACATCAAGGAGCATCGAGACGAGATTCAACCGCGAACCAAATCCAGTCCGAAGAATAGTCCGAGAACCGGACGCTCCCAGAGCCTTGGACCGACTGTCACTGATCGTAGATCGCCTAAACGTCAGCTTCCTCGTGCACCATCTGTTACCAAGGATGCCAAGGTATGCTATTCTTTTGCCCTGAAAAGAAAAGAACAGAAAAAAGTCTTCGCATTATATAAATATAATATAATAATTTTTTTATTTTTTAAATAATTTTTCACGTTTGCAGCATTTATAAAATAGATTTTGGTGTATTTGAATATACAAGTTACACGTAATTGCATAATTAAATTTAAATTATATACTTATAATTATTTATTGACATTATTGTTATATTAAAGAAATCTATTAAAGAAATTTTAAAAAGTAAAGCCTCGTATGAAAAAATTTTATTGTACATTTTTGAATCAGTATTTTACGTAGAATTATCCCCTTCTCGTTTGTACCAGTTACATAACACCTTGTATATACATGAAATTACGTAAAGTTTTGATGAAGTATTTAATTAAATATTTTAATACGATTTACTTTTGCTATTAAGGAAAAGGAGAAAGAGACGAAAGATAAGGATCATAGGGAGAAAAGTGGTGAACCCGAAAGACATCCACGACCGAGTAAGTAGCGTAAACCAACGGTAGTTACGTTTTGCGTTTAGTCATATCGAAGGTATCTTCAACCGATTTAGTGCCCCAAAGGGATCGTTTCCCAAATCGATTGGAGCTCGTAATCTGTCAGTCGAGTTTCCTTTGCATTTTCATGCATAAACTGGATTTGGATAGAGTACACTTACATTACATATTTATATCATATACTATATCTTTTGGACTGCTGTCTGCTCTTGTCGATTTCAAAAGCCAAACATTCGTCGTATATAATTATCATACTTGTACAATTATTTGTACGCTAAAGATGCTCACCGCTTGCATAATTTATCATGATCGTTATTTCTTTGTTTATTTGTTTGTTTAAAAGAATATTCAAATCAAACTATGCTATAATAATATGTATTTTGTTTTAAGCCTAAATATAACAATATTATAATGAAATGCTTATAATGGAAAATATATATTTCTTTTATATAATTTAATTCTATAAGTTTATATAAAATAAATTATTTTATATATATAATTAAATAATTTTAATAAATTAAATTTTCTATAAAGTGTTTCAAAAGTAGAGATCGTTCAGCAGATAGTTGAGAAGTCAAAACAAGAAAAAGAGTTAGTCTGAATATAGATCTGAAAATGCGCTGTTTTTGAGTTATCGTTATTTTTATACTGAAATTTTAATTGCTTTTTTTTTTTAATTGAAAGAAGAGATAATCTTTATGAGTTTTATAATATAATTAAAATTGAATAAAAAGTTAGTTGCGAGTTATTTTAGCATTAGCCAGAATGCATAACTGTGGGATTCTGATCTCTTCTGAAGGAATGTCAAACAGGTTGTATCTCCATGGTGCATTTTGGATAATGCTAAAGCAACCCGCAACTTTTATTCTCAAAAACAATGCATTTCTGTATCTACTTTTTATTTCAACTTTTTTTCTTGTTTTTGAGTTCACAATCGCCTCCCGGACGATTGGTTTTTAAATACCCTGTATACGTGAAGTAGATAACAGATGGCTTTACCTTTCAATATAGATTTAGAAATTCAAAATGATTTAAAATGATATCAGTTTTAGTTGCTGAAGTGACTTGATCACATTTATCTTTATTTATGCTAAAATATCTTTATTTATGCTAAAATATTGTGAAAATATATTCGCATAATAGCGTTTGCAGTGCGGTGAGCGTCAATTATTATAATTGCGTCGTCATTAATGTTTAGGCAGTTGCATGATAATCCTATTTATCTGTCTCTATTTCTTTACCTCCGCCTTTAAAATCCACGTAATCGGTAGCTATATCGATAGATTCTGTATGAAGATTATTTGTGCGATGTATTATTCGCCTTCATAGTCCTTTGCGAGTAGGCGAACAATATCCTATTTTTAACGTAATTGACGAATCATGACGATACAGTTTCCCACATTGACTCCATACTGCCCATCACATCCATCTCATATTATTGCTGAGAAAATTTGTCACGTTTGTCACGTATCAAGTATTTTTAAAAATATGAATGTGTATAATGTATTTTTTATTATTTAATCTCTAAACTTAAAAAAATAAACATACTTATTATTATTATGAAAAATAAGATTAACTTCTAAAACTAATCATTATCATTATTTAGTCAAGCATAATTGCATTATCGATGTGTAACGTTAATTATTCTTATTTAATATTTTTTTCTTTTTTGCTTAAGCTCGAGTTTTATTGAAATATTAAGCATATAAGCATACAAAATAAGAAAATTTAAAATAAGTTTTAAAAGTTAGAATAATATAATAAAATTAATTTTGAAAAGATAATTAGAACAAGGTTTTATAACAAGTTGTTTTTTTACAACTTGTTATAAAAAAAAGCTTGTTATATAATATGCAATATTAATTATTCAAGATATTATTGTATTAATCGATTATAGACCTATCATCGTTCTTTCATAATCCATTGGTTTAAATTAAATAAAAAGAATTGACTAAATCATTAACATATTGAAATACTTAAGAAATTGTATTTTTCGCGATATTTGTTTCACGAAACCAATGGATCGCACGTCTTTATTATCATTGATTATCATTATCGTATAAATCTTATTCATTATTTTCTGATGATAGTAATCTTTTTCTATTCTTCTCTCTCTTTTTTTCGTCTTCTCTCTAGCTCTCTCTTCATTTTTGATATATCAGCAATAATTTTAACCATCGCGTTTTATTGACTCGTCATCATCCATTATCATTATCATTATTATCACCATCACTATCACCATCACCATCACCATCACCACCACCATGACCATCACCATCACCATCACCGTTACCATCACCATCACATCA